ATTGTAAATTCGACAAAAAACCAAAGTAGTCGGATAGGATTGAAATACACATTGGTCGACTCAGTTTTTGGTTCTGCAGAAACATTTCTATTGTCAAGTTACCCTAGGACACTTTTTTTTCTGTATTGTATATATATATATATCAAATTGTAGCTTGAGAAATTCTCTATCAGATGAGGTATTGTTTGAATTTTTTCGTTATGCCGTTATTTTTTAAATGGGACTGTAAGCTAGTAGAGAAGACTAAATTAACGTTAATTAGCACTAATTAGTTATTAACAGAAAGGAGAAAGTAAAATTCTTTTCTTTCTTTCCCATAGTAAATATTCTTCGCACATTTCTCTATCGATCTAGATGAGAACCAGATTTTTATGATGAAAGAGGAACGGCCAGGAAATTTTTTAATAGCAGCCTGTGCTGAAAAAGTTAACATCATTTTTTTAAGTAATTAATTCTTTTTTTACTGGGAAATCTTAAGGAAAATCTAGAAAATAAAAGGGGGGACCTTCTCCTGAAAGAAAAAATTCTTACCAGTATGTGAATTTGTTGAAATGGAATTGTACTTTCTGGTGATGAGCGTTGGCGTGAATAGAATGACGTATTGTTAAATGGAGATGGAGATATTGATATTGGTGTAGATGGGTAGACACTTGTTTGCTGAAATGTCTTTTTAAGACTGATAGAATGAACAATATTCGGTTTTGATAATCCAATCTAAAAAAACAAAAAAATAAAGTTTATCACACATATGGGCAAGAACCATTCGTAACAACACGATATGAGTAAAACAACACAGCTACTGGCTTTTATGGGATTATTTGTTCAAATTAACAGTCAGCTTAACCTTCTACAAACTTCCACTCAAAACTTCGGGTCTTGGCTTGTGAACGGCCATTTTGAAAATAAGAGGATAGAAGAGGATGTTCTAAATTTTTTTTCAGAGGATTACTGTCGAAAAAAGATGAGAACAAAGAGGATTTTTTCCGATCTAAAAGTGTATTGTATGTCTTTATGCGTATTAGTATATTCGGAGGTGGTAAGATACGGCACTGCTGAGATATTCACCTAATTTATTCACGATTTCACACACAAAAAATACACCTTGTTTGCCCTATCATATGAAAGTTCTTTACAACTAAACAATTTGCAAAATTTATTTACGGAAGAAGAGTAGGTAAATAAATCCAACGGGAATAGAGTTTTCTCGGTTTTCTTACCAGTTTAATCATTGGTGGTACTGTTACACTCAGAAATTTTGACGGTTGTATAATTCTAATCCTTTTTGATTCCTTCAGAGATGTTGATGTTCTGGGATGCATTACTAAAAAGCTATTTTGAATTATAGGTGGCTCTGATTGTGTATGATCATCTGATATTTGTTTGTCTAATGTCGAAAGTTGATTGCTACTTGTCCAAACTGGGGGCGATGGTACAGGCGCCGTTGTTTGATTGTTTTGTTGACTGATTTTAATTGTACTTTTACACATGTATCCTGAAAGAAAAAAAAGAGAAAATCTTTAAAACATTCCCTTCAACTACATCTTTGTGCAAATAACTTGCCCTTTTCACAACGTATGCTAATTGGATTTTTCAAAGATGATGTATCAGCAACATGATCTTTAATCGACTAAAAGAGGATTCATAGTATTTAACAGTAGAACAAATGAAAAAGCTAACTAACCAAACTGGCATTTAATTTCTTTTCTTTTCCCGATGATTGTGATGAATAACCCAGCATGTTGAATGTTGCTGTTTTCGGAGATAATAATAATGATGGTGTTGGTTTCCGATTTCGTTGGTTTTCACTCGATTTCATTATTCCTAAAAGATAAATACAAAACAAATACTTATTAGAACACGAAAAATGAGAAAAAAATTCCTGTGGCATTATTGCTGCTAACCGAATCATACAGTCCGAATGATTACAGTCTTCATTAAAAGACTCGGGTAGAGACAGAGATAAATAGTGAAGACAGTAGGGAGATGTAACGCATTTTCTTTGCAAGCGATAAAAGTTTAACTGTGGAAAATCCACTCTAAAGCGGCAAAAGAACATTGTGCGGAAGAAAAACAAATATGATCCTGCGCATGCACGCAAACTAGATCGTGTTTAATTTTAAAAAACATGCACATGCTATTTACTTCGAATAAGTTCCTGAACGAAAGTTATCCAAGATCTTTAAGTACTTTGTTAGTATCGCTGCCGCTCACCGTTATAGTATTTTGATACTACATTGTAATTTATCTAAGTTTTTTTCTGTTGTTAATGAATACAGTTCAGTGCCATAACTTATTACTGTAAGGAGGAAGCTTTTATATGCAATATCAAGTGCTGCTCTGTTAACATTCCATTTTATTAATTTTATGTAATTATAGGTATGGTTTATTGTACTAAGAACTTCACTCACATGAGTATCCCAGGATAGGATAGGTGTTAGCGATCAACCTAAGTGTTTGTGCAGCATCGCTCATCACTGAAGCACTTTTGAGACAAATATTTGACTTCTATATACTTTCATTATTAGTGGTATTGAAATATACAAAGTACAGACACTTTGTACAGGCTAACACCGCACATTTCAAATAATCTTCACAACTCCATTGTGCTACCAAAAATTTCTATTTCGCGCTTATTCTTATGATTCTCGCTTTCACGTCTGGTACCTCAACTAAATGCCACTAAGTGCCACTTTTCAAGATTCTTTTTATCCAACTATGATTCGAAAATGCAAGGCACTTACAGCAAAATCACGTCGTTATGTTTAAAAAGAGTTCTATATTCAGAAAAGAGCTAAGAATCAGTTTAACAGGAACCATTTAAAAATACCATCGACAACTAGTCGACGCACAGAAGTGCTCTTTTGCCGCTTTAGAGTGGATTTTCCACAGTTAAACTTTTATCGCTTGCAAAGAAAATGCGTTACATCTCCCTACTGTCTCCATTGTCTCTACCAGAGTCTTTTAATGAAGACTGTAATCATTTCCTATTTGATTGCTCTAATTATACTTCTCATAAAAACGTCCTGATTAATCAATTTAAACTACTAAATATTCCAACTACTAAATATTCCAACTTCTAAAATTCCATTTAATAAAATACTATTCTATTTAGATTAGACCATTCTTTAATAAAACTAACTATTTCAAAACATATCCGCTTGGAAAAAACTAGTTGCACTCGATTTTTTTAATATATCATCACTACAAAAATATATGAACAGGCGGATATGAAGCAGTTTGTCAATTTATAACTAACAGCGCACATTTGAATCTCTGTCGTTTCGCCAAAAGACAATTCGCTGTAACGAAAAGTCATGGGACGTTTCGCCAATTGGCGAAAGCGTACAAATTCTTGGCGAAACGGCACTGGCATTTCGCCAAGGCGAGTTGTCTTTTGGCGAAACGCTTTTTTACCATCTTTTGTGTACGCAAAATTTTGCGAAATCTCTGACGTTTCGCCAGAGCACGATTCACCAAAAGACAATTTCCTGGAAACCTCCCTCGAAATATATATTTTCAAACAAACTAAACTAACTAAAAACATAGTTCGGACGCTGAAGTTCCAAATGTTTAAAATTTCAGAGTCTGCGGAATTACAAAAGAATTGCGCAACTTCACACTGTCATCACCTCTGGATCACAAAATGTTTCGAATTTCAGAATTTCACGCTGTGACTACCGTCTTAATTTCGAAATGTTTAAAACTTCAGCTCAGCACAATGTGCCCTAGCTCTGAATTTAGGGAGCTTCTTGCAAAATGTGCAACTTTGCAACGAAAGCGCAGGCAGAGTTGGGAGGTGTCTCATTGGAATCCGAAATGTCCGGGCCTAAATTTCATGCTGTGACTACAGTCTTAATTTCAAAATGTCTAGAATTTTAGATTTGCACAATGTGACTTAGCTCTGAATTTAGGGTGTTTCTCGCAAATGGTGGAACTTTGCGAAGGAAGGGCAGTCAAGAGTTGGGAGATGTCTCATTTGAATCAGAAATGTACCGGCTGCCAGTCTGGTTCACTAGAAAAGGTTTTCCTTACTCTTTAGAGTTTGCGAAAGACTGGCTTCGAGCCTGAATTTCCGAATGTTTAGAATTTCAGAGTGTAGAATTGCAGAAGAATTGCGCAACTTCACACTGTGACATAGCTCTGAATTTCGAAATGTTTAGAATTTCTAAATTTCACGCTGTGACTACAGTCTTAATTTCAAAATATTGTCGAGAATTTTAGAAATGTGCAGGGTGTCATTGTGGTTCACTAGAAAAGGCTTTCTAGTGAGGCTAAAGGCTTTCCTTAGTGTTTAGGGTTTCCGAAAGGCTGGTTTGGACGCTGAAGTTCCAAATGTTTAGAATTTCAGAGTCTGCGGAATTACAAAAGAATTGCGCAACTTCACACTGTCATCACCTCTGGATCACAAAATGTTTCGAAGTTCAGAATTTCACGCTGTGACTACCGTCTTAATTTCGAAATGTTTAAAACTTCAGCTCTGCACAATGTGCCCTAGCTCTGAATTTAGGGAGCTTCTTGCAAAATGTGCAACTTTGCAACGAAAGCGCAGGCAGAGTTAGGAAGTGCCTCATTTGAATCAGAAATGTGCGGGCCACTATTCTGGTTCACTAGAAAAGGTTTTCCTCACTCTTTAGGGGTTGCGAAAGACTGGCTTCCACCCCCAATTTTCAAATGTTTCGAATTTCAGAGTCTCCGGAATTACAGAAGAATTGCGCAATTCACACGGTGACTTAGCTCTGAATTTAGGGTGTTTCTCGCAAATGGAACTTTGCGAAGGAAGGGCAGGCAAGAGCTGGGAGATGTCTCATTTGAAACAGAAATGTACGGGCTGCCATTCTGGTTCACTAGAAAAGGTTTTCCTTACTCTTTAGAGTTTGCGAAAGACTGGCTTCGAGCCTGAATTTCCGAATGTTTAGAATTTCAGAGTGTAGAATTACAGAAGAATTGCGCAATTCACACGGTGACTTAGCTCTGGATTTCATAATGTTTAGAATTTCTAAATTTCACGCTGTGACTACAGTCTTAATTTCAAAATATTGTCGAGAATTTTAGATTTGCACAATGTGATTTAGCTCTCAATTTAGAGAGTTTCTACCTAATTGTGGAACTTTGCGAAGAAAGCGCAGGCAGAGTTGGGAGATGTCTCATTGGAATCAGAAATGTGCAGGCTGGCATTGAGGTTCAGTAGAACCGACTTTATGGAGTTTCTTGCAAATTGTGGAACTTTGTGAAGGGAGCGCATGCAGAGTTGGGAAATGTGTCATTTGAATCAGAAATGTGTGGGCTACAATTCTGTTTCACTAGAAAAGCTTTTCCTTAGTCTTTAGGGGTTGTGAAAGACTGGCTTCCACCCTGAATTTCCAAATGTTTCGATTTTCAGAGTCTCCGGAATTACAGAAGAATTAGGCTTCACACCTGCGAAGGAAGCGCAGGCAGAGTTGGAAGATGTCTCATTGGAATCAGAAATGTGCACGGTGTCATTGTGGTTCACTAGAAAAGGGTTTCCTTAGTGTTTAGAGTTTCCGAAAGACTGGTTTGGATGCTGAATTTCCAAATGTTTAGAATTTCAGATTTGGACAGTGTGAGTTAGCTCTGAATTTAGGGAGTTTCTTGTAAATTGTGGAACTTTGGGAAGGAAGCGCAGGCAGTGTTGCATCATTTCATCTGATTGAAATGAGATGCCTCATTTCAATCAGAAATGTGCGGGCTACAAGTCTGGTTCACTAGAAGAGGTTTTCCTTAGTCTTTAGAGTTTGTGAAAGACTGGCTTGCACTTTGAATTTCAAAATGTTCACAATTTCAGAATTTCTCAATGTGACTCAACTCTGAATTTAGGGGGTTTCTTAAGTGCTGTTAGTTTGCGAAGGAAGCTCAATTTGCGAGAAAACTCTCAATTTTTAAATGTTTAGAGTTTCAGATTTTCTCAATGTGACTGAGCTCTGAATTTCGGAAGTTTCTTCTAAATTCTGTAACTTTAAGAAGAAGGCTCATGTAGAGTTGGGAGATGTCTCATTTCAATCAGAAATGGGCGGGGTGCAATTATGCTTCACTGGAAAGGTTTTCGTTAGTCTTTAGAGTTTGTGAAAAACGGGTTTTGACTCTGAATTTGAAAATGGTTAAAGTTTCAGAATCTGAGAAATTACAGAAGAGTTTCACAACCTCACACTGTGACTACACTCTGGTTTTCAAAATGTTTTGAATTTCAGAGTCTGAGGAGTTTCAGAAAAATGTCGGGCATTACCGATGAATGCCGGAACTGCTAGAATCGTGACGTCGTATGCAAAAAATTCGCGAAGGAAATAATTCCCAGCTGGGGGTTTGGAGGCGGCACTTCGTGTCTTGACTCACACCCAGCTTGCCTACCTGCCTCCTCCACCAGTGTCCTGTTGTCGTGTCCTTTGCCCGGAATGCTGAAGTTTCGTAACTGTAGAAACCCACGAATTCAGAAATCCTCGCAGAAGATCATCTGCCATTTAAGATCATGAAATTCTGAAATTCGTTAGATTCTGAAATTCTCACCGTCTAGGTTATGAAATTCTGGAATTCTAACCGTGCAGAGGTAAGGAATTTCTGAAATTCAATGAGATTCTCAAATTCGAACAGTGCGGAGATTCTGAAATCCCCAAATTAGAACGCTGTAGAGATTCTAAAATTCCTGATATTGTAAAATTCTAGATGTTATGACCTTATCGGATTATAAGCCTCGATTCTCATTTTTCTATGTCTTTGTGTATTAGCCACCTGATTTTCCTTCTTCTTTCGTATATGTACTGTCCAGTTTTCTTTTCCTTTATGTTTTTATTTTTCGCGTCAGCTTAGTTTTGTACAGTGCTAGATATGCAGATTTGTTATACTTTTTGTTTCTCACATTATTCAATAAAAGCACGCTTTTCGTGCACACGTTTTATCTCGATATTTGTCAGTCGTAGTAATAGAGCACGAGGCTTTCTGTTCACTAAACTACGGAGCTTCACAATGGGGGCCTGACCGACCGTTATCATCTCCGTTAGGACACTTCTCATTAGAGTAGTGTCTTGGTATTATCGTCTTTAAATTAAACTCTTCTTTCTTCTCGTATCGCTATCGTTATCGTTATTATTCTGTTACCGTTAACAGATATATATTTTTTTCTTTTCTGGTGTTATTAGTTCAACTAAAGGTGTCAAGGATAAACCGAAAACGGACATCGTCGACTAATCGTTGGCTTTGCCAATTCATCAGATCGTCGTCTTTATCGTCGTATTATTGGCGAAGATTATTTTGTATCATTTTTTGCTTTATAACGTTTTCTTTCTTTCGTGTTTTTCCTATTCGTATTCTCATTGTACAAAATGAAAAACAAAACAAAAACTTATTTCCTTTTGCTTTACTTTTATCGTTAACTCTCTTGTTACTGATTTTTCTGTGTTAACCTTATTTTTTTCGGCTAGATGTTACATCCTTTTTCGGAGGCGGAGAGTGTTATGACCTTATCAGATCATAAGCCTCGATTCTCATTTTTCTATGTCTTTGTGTATTAGCTGCGTGATTTTCCTTCTTCTTTCGTATATGTACTGTCCAGTTTTCTTTTCCTTTATGTTTTTATTTTTCGCGTCAGTCTAGTTTTGTACAGTGCTAGATATACAGATTTGTTATACTTTTTGTTTCTCACATTATTCAATAAAAGCACACTTTTCGTGCACACGTTTTATCTCGATATTTATCAGCCGTAGTAATAGAGCACGGGGCTTTCTGTTCACTAAACTATTACAGAGCTTGACACTAGAAATTCGGACGGTGTAGAGGTTCTGAAATTCTGAGTTTGACTGGAGAGTCATTCTTATACTGTATAATGATAACTTGACAGCTCTGAATCAATCTAATCTTTTGTGAAGTACTCGGTGGGCCATAAAAAATGATTCATTCAGTATTTTCTGTTTTTCTCGTATTTCTTTAACATCTGTAAGGTTAATAATTTTTTAAAAGATGCGCGAAATACTCTACAAAATCATACGTAAACTTTAATTTCAGAACTTCAATGAAGAAAACTAAGCAGTTAACGTTTTGAAAGTAAGAAGAATTGAATTAACCATTTTGTAGCTCTGAAGAAAAAGTTCAAGGCGAAGAACATACCAAAGTTATAAAGTTTTCATTTTTTTCGCCTCCTGCATAATTTGCGTAGTTTTCTTGAGCGAAATTCTGAAAATAAAGTTTAGATATGATTTTGTAGAGCGTCTCATGGCACATCTTTTTAAAAAAATATTAACCTTAGAGTCTTAAAGAAACATAAATAGAAAATACTGAGAGGCTCATCTTTTATGGCTCACACGGTACTAAGCTATCGTTTCTACAATTCGGACAAACTTGATTCACAGTATCCTTCTCATTCATTATAGAGTCATGTATGAAATAATTTCAAAATGTTTATTTGAGTAGGTAGAGTAAGCTGTGGTAATTATAATCACGCACAAACCTTTGCTCAGTATTGTAGGAATGATAAAGCGAGTTTTTGTCGGAGAAAAATGGTACTACACTGGTAGACATATATGACTTTCAGCTATCCACTGATGTAAAAATTGTCTGAAAATTCATCAGAGAGACTAGTGAGAGAAAAACAATATAAATATTCTATGCTTCTTCAAAAAAAATTCTATGTTGTTTATACAGCCGAAATGCCGTCATCTGCAAGTGGTATACCACAAACTTTCACTAGGACATAGCTTTTTAAGTTACTGCTGTTTCTGCATGTCATATAGTCTTCATGTTCTTTTAGTTTTTAAACCTATTTCCCTAGTGCTAAACTCTCTACAGTTTGTAATAGTTTTCATCGTATACTATCAATCTTTCGCTAGGGAAGTGTCTCAAAACTGAAACTATGATTTGAAGAATCAGTGTTTCTTTATTTTCTCTTGTATAAAAAATTGCTGATCGTTTCGTTTTATAAAAGATGTTTTCACTGGAACACTGAGCTTTAATACTTTAACTTCACATTTTGATCCAGAACTTTACATAGCAGTTTTAAAAGTATTTTTAAAGGCTCTATACTCTCAAGAGACTGACTACTGGGAAAAAATGTGCTTTGATTGAAGAATATGAAGCCTCTGTGCATATATATCGTGTAGAAGTTGTCATAAATTTCCAAAACTAATGTTTTATCTAAGACAGGTATACAGTTTCTAGGATAAAACATGTGGCCTGTGCCTGCCACATTTTTGAATATATTTTTATCCTATCAGAGTACATGAATTCCGGGATGAACTAAATAGGATATCGCATAAAAATTATATGAATTGCAGAGTGGAAATTTTCATTATGCAATTATACCTCATCCAGTCAAGTGAAAACTAAGCAGATAAATTACTTCAAAAAAGGTCAAATATCTTCTGCCAGTTCTTTTCCATACTTCTTCTCTCTTTGGTCATAACTAGCGCTAAAATTACCCTGTAGAAAAACTTAACTTTTCTCGTTGTTTTAGAAAAATATGAACAATTATCAAAGGAATGTAAGTGTTAAGGAAGCAAATTATTGCAACATGTCGAATACGCTGGAACACCTTTCGGTATTACTCACTGAGGAGAAGCGTTTCAGATTTTTAACTAGCTAGTGTGAGACGCTTCAACTAATATCTGTTTGAAGCATTCATCTTAATTTTAGAGCCAAAATGATGGTGATGAATATGCGTTATCTGTTGAAGTACAAGATGGTGTGTCTCCGACTGATGAACAGTTTAGTGAAGTTAGTATGTCTTATATATATTTCAAAGTATGGGCGTAACGGTCAGTTTTTAATCCTTAGACAAATCAGGGTGATTTTACACAAAAGTGTGAATGTCACATATGAAGGGTCTTAAAAGTACGAGAGACGGAATTGTTTTTAAGGGTTCTTTGCTTGGGTCTCACACCGATCCTTCAAAAAGGTTTTATCCAAAACAGGCGCATTACACACCAATATGAAAATTTCTCTTTTTTACTAGGAAGAAACTAATTGTAATCCAGTTACAGCTACTGCACTACCTGCACCACAAGTTACTGCACTATTGACAAACAGGTTAAAAGGTAGGATATATTTTTACACATGTATGATTGGCTTCTACTGAGGATCTGGCCTAATTCAAAAAATCTCGCACGTAAAAGCGCTATCGAACATATTTTAAGACCACTGAACAAAGAAAATCGAGCGGAAACAAGACGAATAAGAAAAGGTATCTTATAGTACTGTCATACAGCTAATCATTTTCTCACCTTATAAGTCACTGAAAGTTGAAATTTTGCTATTATTTTAAGTTTCTTGATCTTTCGCCACGATCTCTAAAGGATATTCTCGATCAGTTATTATTTTGTACGAATTTCTGTCAAATTCTTACCACCGACGTCGCGGGCCTCTCAGGAATTCCCTGTGTCATACACAGTGTCTCAACGTACAGAAACACAAAATTAATCTAGTCTTACTTTGAGGTTTATAATCGTTAAAAGTAAAAGGTAATTATTTCGTTATGTAACAGTATGCTTGCTAATGATTTAAATCATTGTAAGAATTCTAAAACGAGACATAAAACACATTTCACTAATATGAGTATAATTAGACTACATTAGTTTCAGTAATGACACACATCTACTACAGCAGAAAATGCCGACAATATTCACAAGAGGATTTGCAACCAGCGTTACAAACTATCACAAACGGATCATCAGTCTTCTTGCAAATCTTCTTGTGAATATTGTTGTCTATTATTGAGCTTAACGTAGCTTCGTGGCATTGTGAAATTGAAGAGATACTGTAAGAACTTACTGTCAGCATACAGTTTATATAGGAACAGATAGTACAAAACACATTTTCTGAAACAGTATTCAAGCCTGAATAAAAGCTTTTCCCAGCGTCGTGCCTGTGCCATGAAAAGTACAGTTTTATAATACGTTTTTTTACTATTAGGGAAGAACTTGCTGAGAAATTTTTGGCAGTAGATGGGCCGGTACAGTTTTGCGCAGCCGACATTCTCAGGAATATAGCACTTTCGTCACACCAAACTATCGTCATTATGACGAACGCACTTTTGTTGTACATAACGAAAGTTCCTTAGCGAGAGGTACCCCTCGGGAACTACGATCATCAAAGTGTGAATTTTTGTCATACACACCAAAAATTTCGTTGCATGAGCCGAATTTACGTCACAGTACTGGTGAACTTTGGTCACATTTAAAGAACGTTAAATGCAGTACTTCCTTAGCAAGTAGTTACAGAGTTAGTTGATAAGTTTTGAACAATAAATCGTTGTTCACTGCAAGTACTTCCTAAGGAAGGAATTTCCTTCCTTAGAAAGTACTACTTCCTTCACTTACAATTTATGTAGAAGTGATCTTTCTCTCATTACTTATGTATATATCTTGATGGGCGCCATTTTTATTGTCACAATATATAATCTCTTTCATGTATACCCCACTATTTACTCTGTCCGTACTTGCTAAGGAAGTACTGCGACGTAGTAATACTAGGTGCA